GGGTGGAGGGGGGCAGGATGGGGGGGTATCTGGGGCCTGGAGGGGGCGTATCTGGGGGGCGGGACAGGGGGCGCCTGGGCCTGGAGGGGGCATATCTGGGGGCCAGGACGGGACATCTGGGTCTGGGGTTGATGTCTCAGTGGAGAGGGGCATGTGAGGAGCAGGATGGGGGGTGTCTGGATCAGGGTTTGGCGTCTCAGTGAAGGGGTTTCGGGGGCTGGATGGGGGGAATTTGCATTGTGGTGTGGGAGGGGAGTGTTGGGTAGTTGGAGGGAGGGTGCTTGGGTGTGGGGAGGAGATGGGTTGGGTGTGGGGGGATGTCTGAGATCGGGGTGGCTGTGGAGGTAGATGGGTTTGGTATAGGTGGGAGACTAGGGGCTGGGAGGGCATTCTGGGGCACTTCCTGTATTGGCACTGCCCAGGGGGAGGAGCTTTGGGGGCACTTCCTGTATTGGCATGACCCATGGGGGAGGAGCTTTGGGGGCACTTCCTGTATGGGGAACAGGAGGTCGACTATGGGTGTAGAGGGAAGGGAGGATTGGCATCTGAGGCACTTCCTGTTCAGGCACTGCCTAGGGGGGTGGGACTTCCTGCATTGGGCATGCCCCAAAGGGCATTGCCCTGGGGGGGCAGTGGGGAGGGTAATGGTCTCTCCTAGGCCCCATGGGGCAGCGTCTGACTCACGTTCGGTGCTGTCCCCCGTCCCCCCCGCAGGTGAAGACGAGCGACGAGGCGCGGGGCGTGGGCCAGATCAGTAAGCAGTGGGGAGGGCTGCTGAAGGAGGTTTTCACCGACACTGATGTCTTCGGCATCCAGTTCCCCATGGACCTGGACGTCAAGATGAAGGCTGTGCTGCTGGGGGCCTGCTTCCTCATCGTGAGTGCCCTCCCCTCCACATCCCACCGCTGGCACCAGCAAGTGCCAACCCCCCATCCCACTCCTGGCACCAATCAACCCAACCTTGCCATCCCACCGCTAGCGCCAATCAACCCAACCTCGCCATGCCACCACTCCGATCGACAAATCACCTTCTGTTTTGCCACCAATTGACCTCTGCCCTCATCTGATGTGTGACACCAACCAACCCACCCACCTTCTCTCCCTATCCACCGATCCATACAGCCAGTTTCTTCCCTTTCCACCCCCGCCCCAAACCACCAGAGAGTCATAGAGTTTAAGGCCAGAAGGGACCATCAGGTCATCTTGTCTGACCTCCTGTATCTCACAGGCCACCAACCCCATCCAGCACCCGCACACGAACCAACAACCAAAATAGGCCAACAGATTACAGCCCACGGGAAACTCACCCTCTCCCCATCCTATTGGTCCCACCAGTGAGCACCCCCACCTGCCACTGGCCACCCTAAATTCTCCTTCCCACAACTCGCATCAACAGTCACTTTGTGCCTCTTTGCCCTCCTCATCCCACACCAATGAATGGCCATCCCACTGCTCCCACCAAGCACCTCACTCAACCTCTCCCCCATTTCCACCCCAACCCACATGCTCTCCCACATCCCATTGCTGACACCAGCCAACCTCTTCTTCATGCCACCAGCCCGCCCTACCTCCCCCTCCACCCCACCTCTCACCCCACCAACCCACCTTGCCCTCTTCCGCCATTCCACCACCACCCAACCTCCTCTTCTCATAGCCGGAGCCTCCAGGGTACAGAGGCTGTGACCTGTTTTCTTTCCATGGTGATCCCATCCCGAGATTAGAGATCTACCAATTTGGAAAGCACTAGACTATGTGTCCGTTCCTCTCTCTCCCCTCCCCAGGATTACATGTTCTTCGAGAGAGCGGGCAAGACCAGCCAAAGGAGCACGGTGCTGAGCAGCTAGAGGCGTCTGGACCCCCGCACCTCCTGCTCACTGCCACTTACAGGGACCCCCATCCCACCGCTGACACCAAGAGGGGCCCCCATCCCATCGCTAACACCAACGAGGGGTCTTTATGAATAGGACAGCGTGTTTAGCGGCCGTCAGGGCTGGTGTGGGTGTCAGGGCAGTGAGACTGTTTGCAGAGGTGGCAAGGAGGCCTGCGGGTGTGGGTGCATCCCGTGCCATGGGGCTCGGTGGACAGTGTTGTGTGCACAGCATGATGGGGGCTCTTTCGGTTGTATCTGAAGAACATCAAGCCCTGGGCCTTCTCCCACCAAGACAGCTTTAGGACCTTCACCCAGACAGGAAACTCTGGCCTCCATTGGCCGTCAAATTCCTGGGGTCTTCATATCCCCTGCCCCCACCATGCTGGGAGCCCTTCCCTGTTGGCTGGGGGGTCCCTTCAACACCGAGCCGGTGGTGGCAACATCCCGAAACCAAATCTCTGCCTAAGGATATTTCTCATTCTGTATTTTGTGTATTTATCGCTTATAACAAAGGGTCTTGTGCTGAACCTTAAAGGGGGCTTTGTGGGGGGAGCAACATGGTGCTTTTTAATGGGGTTCCCCCCCGGGTTCCTCTGAATTCCTGATGCTGAGGGAGGGGCATCAAGCCACGGTGGAGGAAGGGGTAGGCTTGGCTTGACCCACAGAGGAGCTGTGACCAGTGTGAAATCATGCTAACCCACAGTGGAGTCATGTGGGCCATGATGGATGGAAGTGAAACCAAGATGATGGGCTGTTGGCCATGATGGATGGAAGCCAACCCAAGATGGAGGGCCATTGGCCACGATGGATGGAAGCCAACCCAAGATGGAGGGCCATTGGCCATGATGGATCGAAGCCAACCCAAGATGGAGGACCCTTGGCTAAGACAGTCATGCCAACCGTGGAGGTCCGTTTACCACGATGGAGTCAAGCCAACCCCAGATGGAGACATATTGGCCAACGCGAGAGAAGACAATCTTGGGCCATTCTATTGTGTCTTTCTTTTGTGGGGGGAGTGGATGGGGGAGGAGGTTGGAGGGAAGGTGAGAGGAAGGGGAAACTCCCCCACAGGCAGGAGAGGAGGGGACTGGATCTCCTGTCTCGACGGATGGTTTTGCTGGGTGTCCTCCATGGGGAGCCAAAAACAATAAAAGGCTAAGACTCCAGTTGTCCACGGGTCCTCTGTCCCGGCTACTCGTCCGTGAACCCCTTCCTCGTGTTCCCTCTGCCCCCCCCCATCCTTCCCCCCACCCTTCATTCTCCCCCAAAATCCAGCTCCCTCTGCCCCCCACAACTCCTTCTCCCACACCCACCACCCCAGTACCTCCACCTCTCTCCCTACCCCCTACCACCCCCTCTCCTCTCCCACCCATCTTGTCCTGCCCCACTTCAGGGAGGGTGAAGGTCACATGGCCCATTCCAGGTGGGGGTGAAGAGGTCCTGGGGAGTCCCATTTGGGGGGGACGGGGAGGAGGGCCCCAATCACGCCACCTGGGACACCGGTTTCTAGTTCACCTTTATTACTTTGCACAATAAATACAACACCCATAACGACTGTACAGTAGGTAGACACGGGGCCCGGCTTGCAGCCACAATCCACCCCCGCTACACACCTTCATGTGCAAGTTGCACACCAACACGCACACGGACAGCTGTGCACACCCCCATTCTGCACATCCAATCCATGCACAAGCCTTGTGAAAAATCCCAAACCCCAGGAAGGGGGCGGATGCACCGTCACATATGAGGGCCGCACGAGCCTCTCCCAAGCTGTGTGCACACACGCACCCCACACCCACAATCATGCCCCCCCCCCCAAAATGTGCACACAACGGGACAAGCGCCGCACCCAGACACAAGTGGCACAACCACCCACGTAGGAACACGCAAAACTAGATGACTCGCACAGCCACACCCACTTTCTTACACAACTCACACACCCACAGGCTCCTCCCGAAATGCACACAGAGACAGGCTACAGCCACACAAGCAAGTCACAACCAGCTGCAGGACTCCTGGGTTCTCTCCCTGGCTCTGGGAGGGAGGGGGGCTGGTGGTTAGAGCAGAGGGCGGCTGGGAGCC